CCGTTGGGAGCGTTCTCAGTTGGCGCCTGTGTTTCTTTGATGTAGCTCCATTAATATGCATTTGTTTCTTGTTTGTTTTTGAGTGCCTCCTTATTTTCTGGCACTGCAAAATGCTCCAGGCTCCTCTTGCATATCTCTGTCCAAGGCATAGAATTGGCCGTTTCTCCAAGGAGCCCTGGTGCCTTTCATTGGAGAGTGCTTTTAGAAACCAAGGTCTGGGTGCTAGGTATGCTTTATGCTACTGGGGTGCTGTTTTATTTCGGTCTTCTTGGATGACAGAGCAAGGAAATATTCATGTATATACTAACCTGTGAATGTCACATATGTTTGCATGTTTCTGTATGGAAGCTTCTGCCCCTGTGTTAAGCTAGACGTGAGTTCGTACTGGTATCTCCAACTCTGCTCCGTTGTTTTTTGTTTTTGTTTTTGTTTTATTGCACGTCACTCCTTTATTATACTGATCTGGAAAAAGGATTTAGTACAGTTATGGTCAAAGAAACACTGGACCCATGTGGCAGAGCCAAGCAACTAGAACGTGATTCAGAAATCAGTGAGACACCTGGACAGGACCAAGAGGCATTTCACTGCCACAAAACAAGGTGGGGAGGGATTTGGAAACACAGCAGGAAGCACTCCTGCCCCTCAGAGGTCAAGGAGCTGATCCCATGTTGGTATGAGGAATGGTTTATATTCTGATGACCATGTGTGGTACTATTTCAACCGCCACAAGGAACCCCAAAGGGGTTATTGTTTTGTACTATTTATATGTACTATACTATATTTTCTTTTTTTTTTTTGGAGACGGAGTTTCGCTCTTGTTACCCAGGCTGGAGTGCAATGGCGCGATCTCGGCTCACCGCAACCTCTGCCCCCTGGGTTCAGGCAATTCTCCTGCCTCAGCCTCCTGAGTAGCTGGGATTACAGGCACACGCCACCGTGCCCAGCTAATTTTTTGTAGTTTTTAGTAGAGATGGGGTTTCACCATGTTGACCAGGATGGTCTCGATCTCTTGACCTCGTGATCCACCCGTCTCAGCCTCCCAAAGTGCTGGGACTACAGGCTTGAGCCACCGCACCCGGCCTACTTTCTTTTTTTTATATAAAAGTAAATGTAACACCTAAACTAAATTCAGGATTCATCCCAACCTTCTAGAGCCAGCTTCTCTGGGGTCAGGGAGGAAACATGCAGGTTACATTCATCTGCCACTGGAATGACTAGAGCCCCCAGGCAGTGGCCTGACTGCAGACGAGCAGAGGACTGGCTCCTGTGGGTAGACAGGCTCTCTTGCTTCTCTCCATTGATCACAGCCTAGCATGTTCCTCCCTTCAAGTCCTTAGTAAACAAAGCACTTGCAAAAGCCCATCACTACCTTTCAGCTCTCTTGCATAAGGCTAGCCTTTCTACAGCTTGGACTGAGAACCTGTGCCCTAGAAGTGCAATTCTGACTAGAATGTATGAAGGGAGTGGGTACAGGAGACAAAATGGCTGTAAAATGAAAATGGGAGCCACCAGTCCTCATCTGCAGCTACGACTCAAGATGTCTACAGATGTGGTTAGTGTGACATGTGCAGGAGGGAGGGGTAAAGGGATGCAACAGGCAGGGAGGGTGCTCCTGGGGACAACAGCCTGCCCGCTGGCCTTCACTTCTTGGCCTTCCCCTGGGCAGCCACAGCTTCCATGGCTTTACGCACTGTCTCTTCATCCCCCAGAAACTGCATGGGCTTGATGGGTTTCAAATTCTTGTCCAATTCATAGACAATGGGAATACCAGTCGGCAAGTTCAGCTCCATGATAGCCTCTTCAGAGAGACCCTCCAGATGCTTGACAATGCCCGGAGGCTGTTGCCATGGGCTGCAATCAGTACCCGTTTCCCCTCCTTGATCTGGGGAACTATTTCTTCATTACAGAAGGGCAGAGCTCTAGCAATCGTGTCCTTCAGACTCTCAAAAGAGGGTAACTGATCTTCTGTGAGGTCTGCATACCTGCGATCCTTACTGATGTTTCTGTAGAAAGGATGGTCGGGCTCCATCGGAGGTGGTGGGACATCGTAGGAGCGCCTCCGTATCTTCACCTGGGTCTCACCATGCTTTGCAGCAGTTTCTGCTTTATTGAGACCAGTTAGACCCCCATAGTGCCGCTCATTGAGGCGCCAAGTCCTCACTACTGGCAGCCACATTTGATCAATGGCATCTAGCACTGTCCAGAGCATCCGGATCGCTCTCTTCTGCACTGAGGTGAAGCAGATGTCAAACTCATAGCCAGTATCTCGCAGCGCCTGCCCGCCACGCTTTGCCTCCTCGTGGCCCGCTGGACTCAGATCGGCGTCGTACCAGCCGCTGAAGCAGTTCTCCAAGTTCCACGCGCCGGATCAGCACCAGTTTGTAGATGGCCATGGCTGCGGGATGGGGATGCGGCACCGACTGGGCTCTGCTCCATTGTTAAGTGGATCATTCTAGCCTCCTCCCATGGCCTATCTGTAAATTTGCATTCCAGCAGTAAGCGACCTGGCTCCTACCATCCACCGTTTATTTAATTAATTTTCAATTCCATATCATATCAGAATTGTTAATTCGTATCCCCATGAGAAACAACTTTATCAAACAGAGTAAGGTACAAAGCTCACATGAGAGAGGAGGCCTTGGTGACTGACCACAGATGGGGCTATCTTAGCCTGCTTGCGCTGTTATAAAAGAATACTTGAGGCTCGGTAATGTATAAAGAAAATAGATTTACTTGGTTCATGGTTCTGCAGACTATATAGAAAGCAGGTACCAATATCTGCTTCTGATGAGGGCCTTTGGCTTCTTCTACTCCTGGTGGAAGGGGAGGGTGAGCCACTGCAGATCACAGGGAGAAAGGAGGGAAGACGAGGGAGGAAGAGGTTCTGTGCTCTTTTCAACAACTGGCTCTTGGGGTAACTAAGAGTGAGAACTCACTCCTGTGAGGATGACAGCAAGCCATTCATGAGAGATCTGCTCCCATGACCCAAACCTCCCACTGGGCCCACCTCTGACACTGGGGATGAAATTTCAACATGAGATTTTTTTCCTGGTTGGGAGGGGGTCAAATATCCAAACTATAGCCATGGGTCTTATTTGCAGCTGGCCTGTATTGGTTCAGTGCTTAACTCCTGTGGTATCTGGGATTCTGGTAAAGATCCTCAGCCAAGATATAAATTGATTGTTCTTGCTGGTGATTTAGAAGATGCCGTTTAAAGTCCAGAACTTCCTGGGGGCATGCTGCAGCAGCACGTCTACACTACTTCTTAAACATATGGAGATTGATGATTTGCATTTGGGGTACATGTTTACCCAGCCTGATTTAAGCTATGTAATTAGTGGGGCATAAAAAACCCCTTTGTAAGCTGTTCCTTAGCTCCCTGAGACCAAGAGATTACACACATTTCAAGAAGAAAGTGCTCATTCTCAAAATGAATCACGATATAGAAATATTTTTTCACGGTACTGATAATGCAATGAAGTGTATCCACTTCTGAGTGATTTGCTTACGTTTACGTCAGCAGCACATTCAGTATGCAGAATGGCTTGAAGTTATGCTTGCAGGGCCAAAATAACACGATGTTGAATTTTGTGGATTCAATAACAGAATTCATTAAGAAATCTGCACTGTGAGGTAAATGATTAAACATGGAGGATTTGACTCTTTGTCAACATTAGATAATTCTTTTTACTCAACAGAGAAAGGAAATCTGACACATTTAAAAGCATGTTTAAAGGCCAGGCATGGTGGTATACACTCGTAGTCCCAATTATGTGGGAGGCTGGGGCGGGAGGATTGCTTGAGTCTCATAGTTCTAGGATGCAGTGTGTTATGATCACACCTGTGAATAGCCACTGCACGAAACATAGCGTGACCCTATCCCTAAAAAGAAATTATGTTTTAAAGTATGTTTGAAACATACATATACCAGTCTGGCCAACATAGTGAAGCCCTGTCTGTACTAAAAACACAAAAATTAGCCAGGTGTGGTGACATGTGCCTGTAATCCCAGCTACTCGGGAGGCTGAGGCAGGAAAATTCTTTGAACCCAGGAGGCAGAGGTTGCAGTGAGCTGAGATCGTGCCACTGCACTTCAGCCTGGGCAACAGAGCAAGACTCTGTCTCAAAAAAACAAACAAAACAAAACAAAAAAACACATACATACAAATATTCCAATAGGATACAAAGAAGCACTTTCTAGAACTGAATGCACCAGAGAGGATTAGAAACCCACTTATTCTCTCCCAGCTTCAAGAATTTAATGTTCCTGCTTTTGCATGTAGCAGGCTTGCTGGCTCAGATCTGAGAGCACTGAGAGATAAATGTCTGGCAGAGCTCACTGCCTTTCCAGCAATCCAGTAAGTGAAATGATATGTTCTCATTTAATAGAAATGAAGGGTAAAAGAAGGATCCACCTGGCCATGGGACTGGAGGAATGGCCCAAGCCATGTTTCATAGAGGCACAGACGCCGACCCTTTGAAAAAAGGGCCTAGTGTGTGTATTTCCACACTGCCCCCTGCTGGCTGACACTGGAACATTGATTCTTCATGTGGCTCTAGAAAGACCTAGTAGATGAGGCAGGTGGCCCCCCAAGGAAACTTGAGCTAGAGGCAGTCGGATTTGGCCGAGACGCTCTCCTCAGGGAAGGCCAAGTCTGGGAGTGGGTTTGAACAGCAGTGGAGAAATAACTTCCTCAGGGCATGTCAGAGTAAGTTCTGATGTTTTCAAGAGAATGGGATAGAAGTTTAGTGAAATTTAGAAGTCAGGCAGGTAGAGAAGCATCGAGGACCCTATCCCAAGGGCTTGAGTCCCTGGAGACAGCCTGGTAAAATTAGGTGTCAGCTGTAGAGAGCAGAGCAAAGCAACCAAACACAGGGTAAGGTCTGCAGGTGCCCGTAGTTCATGAAGGGATATGTACATGAAAGTGAATAATTCTGTCACAAGGTGTCAAGGGGGTTGGTTACCTCACATAGGATCTTAGAAAAGGTTTCCTGAGACCATGTCTGAACTGGTCACTGAGGTGAGTAGGGATTCTCCAGAGGGCGGGGAAGGGCTTGAAAGGGTCTGGCACACATCAGGAGTATGGAAGGGGAGCTTGGAGAACGAAGCAGAGTCCAGCCTATAAAAGACCTCTTGCGATTTGTTGAGGAGCCATGACCTTCTCCCATGCATGGTGAAATACCCTTAAAGGATTTTGAATATTCAAAAGACAGAAACAAAAAATGGTAGATCCAAAATAGATGGTAGGAATCACTTTCCTCGGTTTTCCTTGAAGAGTCAGAGTGTTTACCACCTGGATTGTTTCTGATATATCTGAAAGATGTTCTCACAAACCCAACATGTTATCTCTTTTCAACAGTTTTGTACATTGCCTTTTTATGGTGCAGGCAAGCTCTGGAGTACTCGGGCTTTCAGGTGAGTGGAAAAACAAATTTATTCCTGATCACGTTGAGCCACTTATCTCCTGTTGCTTTGACACTAATGGAGATGCAACTTCTTTTAAGCCACAGTAGAATCTCCTGAGTGGGTGTGGGAGTTGTAAGAAGGAGGAATCTGGGCTTCTACAAGAGAGATAGCGTGTCTTTATTCATTCAGTCAGTCACTGGGTCGATGCGCTTAGCTCTGTGCTCTGTGCTGGGTGCTGTGTGGGATGTAAAAGAAGCTGAAGTTCCAGCTCTTACTTCCCAAGGAATCTGTACTCCGCTTGGGAATCCATAGAAGAAGGAGACGATGTCAGCACAGTAACGTCAAGATGGCTGCATGACCTCGAGATAGATGTTAAGGCCATTTTAGTGGGATAAAGGAAATCTTTGTGGGTTCAGAGATGAGCTGTACTGGCTTTGAACTAGGTGATAGACATAAGTAGGTGGAGTGCAACTGGGGAGAATTTCAGGCCTGGGTAAGGGTCAAATGTGGATGGATGGTCTCATGAAGGAAGCCATCAGGCTAGACATAGCAAATCCAGGAGTCCTCTAACCATGGGCAGAGGACCTTTGCTGATGTGAGAATTGCATTGCAGGTCAGTACTCCTCAGTGAGCCTGGAGACCCAATTGCTTCCCATTCCCTACCTCAAGGCGCTGTCTTATAACTTTGGACTGCAACTCTGAGTCAGTGGATTCTGGAAATAGTAGCCATATCTATGCATGGGCTGAGTGGGCTTCCGAACAGGCTGGCCTCATCTCCTGATGATGAGAGCTGGAGGCACAGGAGAAGACACACAGATGGCAAAGACACTTAAATACGTGAGAAAATGAGACTAATCTGAACTTTGACTTTTCTGGGTGGCGCACTAACTACCGTATCTTCATTTCATCCACTTTTGCAAAGGACAGACAATTCCAAACAGCCAAGCTTGACAAGTGGCTTATCTTAGCCTCTGGATTCAGAGCACTGGTGGCCTCCCTACCTCCAGCTGACATCAGAAAACATGTAAATACCTCTAAACATGCTTTGCGTATTTGTTTTTCTAAATGCAAATATTATACCATAACTTAGTTTGAAGGCCTTATGAAGAATATGCCAGAAACATCTAATATTAGCCCAATATTAGCCCTAAAAACTAGATTAATCTTTTTTTAACAAAAGTGTGCATATAAACATCAAAAGATGTGATGAGAGCAGTTTTGACTTCTAATTATAGAAATTATAGAAATATTTCATGAAAGAGGTGCTTTATCAGCTCATCTTGAGTGAATGTAAAGATGAAAGTATGGCTATCATCTCCGTGTAAATGGGATCACGCGGTGTGTACTTTTTTGGATCTGGCTTCCCTGTGATACATCCATGTTGTTTTGTTTCAACAATTAACTCCTTTTCATTCCTAAGTAGTATTCCATTGCACAAATATATCTCACTGTTATTATCCACTCACCTGTTGATGAGAGTTTGCTTTTGTTTTGAGACAGAATCTCACTCTGTCTTCCAGGCTAGAGTGCAGTGACTCGATCTCGGCTCACTGCAACCTCCACCTCCTGGATTTAAGCGATTCTCCTGTCTCAGCCTCCCGGGTAGCTGAGACTAAAGGCACACGCCACCAAGCCCAGCTAATTTTTATATTTTCAGTAGAGACAGGGTTTTACCCTGGTGGCCGGGCTGGTCTTGAACTCCTAACCTCAGCTAATCTACCCGTCTTGGCCTCCCAAAGTGCTGGGATTACAGGCGTGAGCCACTGCACCCAGCTGGGAATTTGGATTCTTTTTCCAGGATTGGGCTTTTATGAAGAAAGCCGCTATGAACATTTGGGTACAAGTATTTGTGGGACATATGCTTTCACTTCTCCTACGTATATACCTAGGAGAGGGATGGCTGGCCCACTATTAGAACTATTAGAAAGTGCCAAATTGTTTTTCAAAGGAGTTGTACCATTTTGCACTCCCACCAGCAGTGAGGAGAGCCAGGAATGGGTATTTAATGTGCTCCATTCTCAATCTTCAGGTCTCAACCCAAATATCATTTCCACAGGAGGGCCTTCCCTTGCCCACCAGACTAGGAGAAAACCCCTTATTTTAATAACCAGATCCCCTTGTTAGTGGCCCTAATCAATCACTAATTAAAAACCTGCATGCATTGTTCAAGTCTGCTCAGCTGCTGGCCTGCTCAAGGCTCCTTGACAGCGGCCTCCATCGCTGTATCCCCAGGCCTGGCCACCATGCCTAGCACAGAGACAGGCTCAGCCAGTGTTTGTTCCTAACAGGCTGGCCAGTGGGGTGGAGCCCAGCAGCCTGCACCTTAGCTGCCCACATTTTGGTCTTGCACATAGGGTTCGCTGCATTCTGTTCTCTGGTGATTGCCCTGTTTCATTTCTCGCCGCTCCCCCACTCGCAGTCTATGCTAGAGCTGTGTAACTCTTTTCAAAGGCACCTGTTATGGGATCTCAGACAACTCAATTCTGAGCTTAGTGAACCCTCATAGAAAATACAAATATTGGTTGGGCATGGTGGCTCAGGCCTGTGTAATCCCAGCACTTTGAGAGGCCGAGGCAGGAGGATCACCTGAGGTCAGGGGTTCAAGATCAGCCTGGCCAACATGGTGAAACTGAATCTCTACTAAAAACACAAAAATTAGCCAGGTGTGGTAGTGTGCACCTATAGTCCCAGCTCCTCTGGAGGCTGAGGCAGGAGAATCACTTGAACCCAGGAGGCAGAGGTTGCAGTGAGCCCACATGGTGCCACTGCACTCTAGCCTGGGTGACAGAGCGATACTCTGTCTTAAAAAAAAAGAAAGAAGAAAGAAAGAAAGAAAATACAAATTCAGCCCTAAAAGATAAAATCCTGGTTTCTGCCAAAAACCTTGATGATGCTCTGTTTTCTTTCACTGAATTCAACATGTTTTCACACACACGTTTTGTAGAAGCTCAGAAAAGACATTACTGGGCCCAGTGGGCACTCATAGAAAGATACAAATATCCAGCCCTGATATTTGTGAACCACTGTGCACAACAGAGAAGTGTATTCTTATTGATGAAAAAGCTAAAAGTAAGGTTTGTGCCAAAAAACTTGAGGACGTACTGTTTACTTTCACTGACTTGAACATGTTTGCACGCGGAACAGATTTCAAACACATGTTTTGTGAATGCTCAACAAAGATGTTTTTGAGCCTAATAGACTCTCATAAAATGATCCAAATATCAAGCTCTAAAAGCTAATAGAAAGCCTTGGGCTTACAGAGTTAGAAAGAGGTGACAAGTTCTGCCCATGCCACACAACCTGGTACAGGTTTATCGGGCCCCTTTCTCTGCCCTGTTCTCTCACTGTTTCCTGGACTCTGCCCAAGTCTCGTCTCTAATGTTCCACGACCAGCTATGTGTCTGCCCTCTAGCTCCCATAGCAGGTCCCCAAGTTCCCTTTGAGCCTCTGATGTTTCCCCATCACATGAGATTGTGGACATTCCAGAGCAGGACATCCTAGGATTTTTGCAAATCTCATTATACATGATTCCCCTATAAAATTCAGTAAAGCTTGATTAGAGAAAATAAATGGCCACTCCTTAGGTCTTGAACATGTACTCAGGGACAGCCATTTATAAAGCTCCCAAGGCACGTCAGAGCCGGCCACTGATGCCACCCTTGTGCCAGGCCTGTCTCCTACTGCAGATCAGACATACTGTGACGATGCCTCAAACAAGTATTGGACATCTCCAAGAGCAACAATTTCAACTCCTGGTAGACAAATGTATTCATTAAAAAAAATTTTTTTTATTGTACTTTAGGTTCTGGGGTACATGTGCAGATCATGCAGGATTGTGGCCTAGGTACATATGTGGCAATGTGGTTTGCTGCCTCCATCCCTCTGTCACCTATATCTGGCATTTCTCCCTATGTTATCCCTCCCCAACCTCCCTACCCCCCACTGTCCCTCCTCTAGTCCCCCCCAACAGAACCTAGTGTGTGATGCTCCCCTCCCTGTGTTCTCACTGTTCAACACCCATGTATGAGTGAGAACATGTGGTGTTTGATTTTCTCTTCTTGTGTCAGTTTGCTGAGAATGATGGTTTCTTTGAAGGTCATTAAGAACTTGCTCTATGTATCTGGGTGCTGCTGTATTGGGTGCGTAATATTTAGGATTGTTAGCGCTTCTTGTTGCATTGATCCTTTTACCGTTATGTAATGTCCTTCTTTGTCTCTTTTGATCTTTGTTGGTTTAAAGTCCATTTTATCAGAGACTAGGATTGCAACTCCTGCCTTTTTTGCTCTCCATTTGCTTGGTAAATCTTCCTCCATCCCTTTATTTTTAGCCTATGTGTGTCTTTGCATATGAAATGGGTTTCCTGAATACAGCACACTGATGGATTTTGACTTTTTATCCAATTTGCCATCTGTGTCTTTTGATTGGGGCATTTAGCCCATATACATTTAAGGTTAATATTGTTATGTGTGAATTTGATCCTGCCATTTTGGTGCTAGCTGGTTGTTTTGCCCGTTAGTTGACGCAGTTTCCTCATTGTGTGAATGGTCTTAAAAATATAAAATGCTTCACGAATTTGCATGTCATCCTTGAACAGGGGCCATGCTAATCTTCTCTGTTTTGTTCCAATTTTAGTTTATGTTTGCTGAAGCAAGCATGACAAGTGTATTGTTTTTAAAAATTCATTATTTATTTATTTTTTAGAGACAGGGTCTTGCCCTGTGACCCAGGCTAGAGTGCAGTGGTGTGATCATGGCTCACTGCAGCCTTGACCTCCTGGGCTCCTGACCTCATGATCCTTCTGTCTCAGCTTCCTGAGTAGCTGAGACTACAGGCATGCACCATCACACCCAACAAATTTTTAAAATTTTTGCAGAGACAGGATCTTGTGATGTTGCCCAGGCTGGTCATGAACTCCTGGACTCAAACGATCCTTCCACTTTGGCCTCTCAAAATGCTGGGATGACAGGTGTGAACCTCTGTGTACAACAGAGAAGAGTATTCTTATTGATGAAAATGGCAGTCAAATTGGAGCTGAGACCAAGAATTGTCACCTGAATGAAAATGCTGGGAATGGATTATTGCATCAAGCTCTTAGTGTCTTCTTACTCAACACCAAAATGAGTTCCTGTGACAGCAGAGATCAGATGTTAAAATTACCTACCCAGGAAGTTTCACCAATACTTGTTTGTAGTCATCCATTAAGTAATCCAGGCAAGCTTGAGAAAAATGATGTCAGCGGCCTAAGTTGAGTAGCACAGAGGGATCTAAAAGCTGAATTAGGAATTCCCATGGAAGAGGCTCCTCCAGAAGAAACCTATTATCTGACGCGAACTCGCAACCAAGTTCAATCTGATGGCATCTGGGGTGAACATTAAACTGATGATATTTTGTTTGTGAGGAAGAACTTAACTTTGAATTCAGATCCCAGTGAGAGAAAAAGCTAGTTTCTGCATGTCAAAGGAAGAGTTAGGACTTCTGAAAAAAGTAATCAGTGGTGAAATTAAAGTAGCTCCATGGTTTCAAGTTATTATAGAGACTTTTCTCTTTAAATGGTGGGATAATGGCTGGGTGCGGTGGTTCATACCTATAATCCCAGCACTTTGGACGGCTGAGATGGGCGGATCATGAGGTCAGGAGATCAAGACCATCCTGGCTAACATGGTGAAACCCCTTCTCTACTAAAAATACAAAAACTAGCTGGATATGGTGGCCCATTCCTGTAATCCCAGCTACTCGGGAGGCTGAGGCAAGAGAATCGCTTGAACCTGGGAGGCAGAGGTTGCAGCGAGCTGAGATTGCATCACTGCACTACAGCCTGGGTGACAGACTGAGACTCCGTCTCAAAAAAAAAAAAAAAAAAAAGATGGGATAACTTAAATCATTTGAATCAGTTTATTGACCATGAAAAAATATACAAGATGTGGACATGAATGAGAGTCTGACAGCTGGACTTTTAGAAACAGCCATCTGCACAAGTCACCATCTTCCCAGCTGACACGGAGCAGATTTGCAACTTTATCACATTTGAAACTCCAGAAGGAACTTCTTGGAGTTTGCTCATGTGCAAGTGAGCCTAGAAAACCCATTAACTTTGGGTGGAGGCTTCCACCATTTGGCTATGCCTAGTGGGCCCAACGCTGAGAAAAACCCACCAGCCCTTTGCTTCCTGCTCCCTCTATTTGGTTTCCCCAGGAAAGCAGAGGCAATGACATAATTTGGCTTGGACACCAGCAGGAATAAACGGTATTTAAGAGATGTCATAAACCCCTCCATTTTGTTCTTGATTGCTAAGTGGCCCCGAACCAAAACAGCTGATTAAAAAAATTAGAATCTTAGCCGGGTGTGGTGGCTCACGCCTGTAATCCCAGCACTTTGGGAGGCTGAGGCCAGTGGATCATCATGAGGTCAGGAGTTCAAGAAGAGCCTGACCAAAATGGTGCAACCCCATCTTTACCAAAAATACAAAAAGAATTAGTTGGGTGTGGTGGTGGGTGCCTGTAGTCCCAGCTACTCAGGAGGCTGAGGCAGAAGAATTGCTTGAACCTGTGAGGCGGAGGTTGTAGTGAGCTGAGATTGAGCCATTGCAATCCAGCCTGGGTGAGAGTGAGACTCCGTCTCAAAAAAAAAAAAAAAAAAAAATTAGAATCTTAATTACAGATTTGGAAATTCCAACGTAACACAACTGACATGGCTTGCATCTTATCATCTGCTTCGTTCTTGAAAATCCCTCTCCTTGGTGCTGAATATTATTTCTTGAGCATGGAGCCCCTGGTTGCAAAACACCTTCCCCTGCTGGATGATGATGTCACCTCTGATAAGCCTGAGCATGTAATTCTGCCCTGGACACCAGGTGCATGGTTGGTCTCCTCCCCGCAACCAATACCTCCCCTCTCCCTTCGAACCACCCACCTCCCTCCATCCAGAGAGGCCAGCTGTGTGAGTTCTTCTGGCCTTGACCTGCCTGCTTCCAGCTTCCTCTAGTTCCTCTCTGGCCTTCTGCCAATTTCCTTCCATAGACTATGGCCAAGCCTGTTGGAGTCAAAACAATTTGCATTGTTTAAGAAAGCAATCCTTGCTTGCAACGCTTTCTCACAAAAGAGTTTGCATTAAAATAAGATCTGGGAATCCCCAGGATGGGTGGGAGTGTGGGAGGGGCTAGTGGAGGGATGAAGTTCAGTTCAGGGTACAGGGTATCTTGGAGGAGGCAGTGACACTTATTAGAAATGTACAATCTAGTTCACCCCAAAACTGCTGAAGCAGGAGCTGCATTTTACCAAGATTCCAGGGAATGTGTGTGCCCGTTACAGTTCGGCCCAGGGTACAGGGATGACACTTGAATATTGGAGGATGAGCTATTTTCGGAGATCAGCTTTGCATTGACCAGGAAGGTCCCTTTAGAAGGGGAGTGGTCAGTGCGTGGGGCTTATTTCAGTCAGAGGCCTCTCACGCAATTGCCAGATGAATAGACTCTCCCAGCCTCTACTGGGGGCCTGGGGCTCACTGTGCAAGGGAGGCCAAAGGGCTTTAGTGCTTGGGGGTGGAATCTTGGTCACTTTACGGGGCTTGCTCTTGCTCCAAAGTGAGGCTCCCTAAAGCCCTGGGCCCAGGCAAAGGCTCCCATTTGCCAGTGGAAACAGCTGAGTCTGTTTTTCTGGGGCAGTCTTTAGATGATCTGAAATGTGCTTTGAGATTTCTCAAAGGCATAGTATTTTATTCTCATTTTTCAGGGAATATCTGAGTTATTCCCATTTTGTAGGGATGCATTCCCAGAGGCATGAGGGTTGGGTTCCTTTTTCTTCCACTGAGGAAGCTGGGTGCCCCACTGAAATGGGGTCTTCTGCCAGCACTGAGGATAAGGGAAGAGGAAGCCCTCGCTGATTTCTGACTTGTGGCCTCTGGGGAGACAGCAAACTCTCAGCCTCTGGCCTGAGCCAGGCTCACCAAGAGGTGTGCTCCTCAATAGAGCGGTGTCTGAACCAGAAAAACCGAAACTGGTCATGCTGACATGTCTGTGTAAGTCTTCTTGATCACTCGCCTGGCAGGTGTGGTCTGTGACAGTGCTGGTTACATGAAGGCACACGGGCCCTGCTGTCGCATTTCAGTACAGACCCTGGTAGACTCCAGGATGTGCCACGCAGCAACACACAGGCAGCTTAGGGTGCACGTGTCCATCCATCGACAGCAATGATGAAAAAGCATTGGCTACAGGAACAAGATGTGGCCACACCATAGGTATGATGTAGGGCCTGGGTTCCTTGACCCCATTGGCCACCACCCGAATCTAGTCACTTGGTTATCAGAAAGCTTGAGGTAGAGAGTATGGGCAGCTCAAGACAAACCGAAGGCCAGCACCTGGGACACCCTATTAGGACCAGAGGGTGGAGTTTCTAGACATTGTCAGGCATACCCTAAGCAAGGCAGGGTGTGAGGGACTCCAGGGAAATGCTGATTGTCTGCCCCAGCCTGGAGGGGAGGAACAGCGTGGGCTACTTAACAGTGTGTTGGAATCTCTGCTCCTTTTGAGCTTTTGGATCTAAAGGATATTCTGGTTGGAAGGCAGATACTTGCATGTGTCATTTTAGTAAAAGTCAGTACAAAGTCCAGGGCATAACCTCACCTCAAGCCTTCCCATTTGCTGGGGTGTGCAGAGCTGTGCAGACACACCACCCTTTGAGTTAGAAGCCTGCACACTCACTGCCTGCTTTCCAGGTTTCTCATGCAGATGTTTTGGACCAGGTTTAGAATGAAAATTGCTAACAGTTTTAGGAGAATTTTCCAAGGTCCTCATGGTCAAAAGTTTTAGAAAGCTTTAGGTGTGCCATTTGCAAAAGAGAGAAGCTGCTGAGGCAACATTTATAGAGAGGTGGTTTCTCATATTTAAATGACAGAAACTCTTCCAAATTAACGCCATAAACAGCTGGTGGGAATGGGATTTGCTCCTGCTATGTGCAAACATAACCTGGTCATGGCTGGTAAAATTTAAATTACACACAGGCTTTGTTCCAGAAATTCTGCACGTGTGAATCTATTCCACAGAAACAAAAGTACCAGACTGTAACGTAGTATGTACAAGGATGTTTATTGTTTGCAGTGACAAAAAACTGGAAATAATCTGAAGGCCCATTAACAAGGCCCATTCAATCAACCATGGTACATCTGTATTAAGTGAGATTACATAGCAATCCAAAAGAATGAGTCAGCTATCTAGATAGCTGTAGTTCCAGAGAGTTTTATGATGCAGTGTTAAGTTACGGAAGACAGATTGCAGATGAATATTTTACGTTCATAGTATTTTTAAAAGGCACAATCAAATAGAAATCCCTCACTTATGTATCTGCTCACAGTTAAGGTGGAGGCTGCATCTCAGGCTGGAAGAGGGGCGCAGGACTGGGGAAGATGGGTGGGGAGAAAGAAAATAAAGGTAGGCAGGGAGCAGTGGCTCATGCCTGTAATCCCAGCACTTTGGGAGGCCGAGGTGGCTGGATCTCCTGATGTCGGGAGTTCGAGACCAGCCTGGCCAACATGGTGAAACCCTTCTCTACTAAAAATGCAAAAAAAATTTGCCAGGCTTGGTGGTGGACACCTGTAATCCCAGCTACTTGGGAGGCCGAGGCATGAGAATTGCTTGAACTTGTGAGGTGGAGGTTGCAGTGAGCCAAGATTGCCCCATTGTACTCCAGCCTGGGCAACAGAACAAGACTCCACCTTAAAAAAAGAAAAGGGAAAAGAAAAAACACAGAAAATGAGTAAAAAGCAACGAATGAAGTAAAAATTTAGAATATAAACGCTCACCTGTTTTTCTGTTGCAAATATGAACGTTTACATATGCAAATGGTTAAGAACAGGAAAGTCCAGGGGAAACAGCAAACTGACTCAATCGGATGCTGGGATTGTGCTATTTTTTTGGATTGGAATTTCTGTTGTAATTTTCATGTCACTTTTACAATAAACTTACATTTTAAAAAGTCAACACTTGGCAGGGGGCAAGAAAGCAATGGTTGAGGAAATTTTTCACGCCGCAAAATGACTATGTCCAGCATAATTCAGAAGCCCCTCACGATGTCTCACACATAGTAGGCACTCCACACCCCTTTACTAAAGTGACAAACCAGACTCACGAGGCCTTTATTCCACCCCATGATTCATCAACTTGAGCAAGAATGTTCAAGCACACACGCTTTCAGTGAAAAGCTCCATAAGCCCATTTTGCATTTGAATCACCGTGTATACATTCACCTCTGCTCCACTTAAATCTGGTTGCTGGGACTCTTAACAAAATGAGAAAAGACAGCAATTGCAGAAAATGAACGACATTATGGCCTAAGCATTTCCACCTCAGAAATGAAGTCATTTGGCTGACGTGGCTGCATGTGCCCTTGTAATTACTTAGGAAAGCGAGGAAGTGAAATGTCAGTGTCAGCCTCTGGGTACTTTTTCTTTCTTTCTCTCTTGCCATTGTGGTTATATTTTTTTAAATTAGAAAGCAGGAAATAACTGTAGAGGACATGTTCTGAGCTTTTCTCTTGCTCTCTGATCTAAGATGAATAGGACTGTGGAAGCAGAAGGCAAGTGTGGCGCTGGCAGCAGCTGAATCCCGGTGCTGGCTGCAGGGTGGACCTGGCTGCAGGGTGGACCTGGCTGCAGGGTGGACGTCTCCTCCACGTGTCCAGTGTAAGGCTCTTTGTGCTGCCCTGCCCCCAAGTCATCCGCCCATTTTCAATGTTAAAATCTTCCAAATGTGACCTTGAAAAGAACACTGATAGCTGAGGGAACTCAGCACGAGAGACGCC